GGAGAAAGACTGGCCTTGGCCACAGCCTGCAATGCACAGTATGGGAATGTGTCCCAGTTCTGTGGCTGTCCTCTCCTCACTTATAACCCAAAGCCGCAGAGAGCCTGTGCTCAACTACTCTGTAACTGTCATTTAATTACTCCTCAACCTGTGTTGTTTTTTTTCATCAGGAATAATTGTAATTACCACAATTGCATTAGACTGTTGTGGAGATTAAATGAGACAATATGTAATTTTTTATTCAAGTTTTGGAAACAAAACCAAAAGATTGTGTGGCTTTTTAAAATTGGTTTAACTCTAGAAGATTTTTGTAACAAACCCACTTGATGTTCATCTGACACTCTCAGGAAATTTAACTTTGAATAACAATTTAGTAGGGCTGAGGTTTTACAACTCAGTAATTCCAGATATTAACTGGTAAAAACCTGATGAGGTATAATGGGGAGAAGGAGCCAACATCAAGTACAGAAAATAGTCCCAAAGGTTAAAATTAAGAAACATGAGCCAGCATTGTATCAATTTTCAGTTGATCATTCTCTAGTGACTATATAAAATTCCAGTTCCTCATACTCTTGTAGAATCAGTTCTATCATTCTGGCTACCTTACCAAGAGTGAGAGACCTAATATACATAGTAACAATGGGTAGACCATAAATGATCATAAAACTGACCTGCATAAGAAACCAAGCCACAACCTTTGCAGCCATAAGCTCAGAATAGTCAGGGTTTGTTCAAAGGCTGCCAACTTCCTTATTTTAGGCACACATATACCCACTCCAACACACGCACCAGGACTAATAAGAGAAAACGAAGTATGCTCCCCAAAGCAATCACAGATATGCCCCACTTCTAGTTACTTCACCTCCAGCTCCCCTTGCCAACAACCTTTAATCACAGCATACCAGGATTTTCTTACCGTGTTTCTCGTTTTTTGCACTTCACAGGTGTTGTATATTTTACATATTGAAGCCAAGACCCACCACCAGCAAAAAGATCACAACTCACTTTATTGGCAAACTCACTTTACGCCAGTGGTCTGAAACAGGAACCACAATGTCTCCGAAGGTACACTAGTACTTGGAAAGCTTCCGCTCTTTCTGATTGCCTTTGAGTCTCTGCCAAAGTGATGGTGGCTGAACATAGCAAGCTCTGCAGTTTCTGTTCCCATTTAAGTGTTTTTTTTGTTGTTGTTGTTTTGTGTGTTTTTTTTAATATATTTTATTGATTTTTCACAGAGAGGAAGAGAGAGGGATAGAGAGTTAGAAACGTCGATGAGAGAGAGTCATCGACCAGCTGCCTCTTGCACACCCCCTACTGGGGATGTGCCCGCAACCAAGGTACATGCCCTTGACCGGAATCGAATCCGGGACCTTTCATTCGGCAAGCCGACGCTCTATCCACTGAGCCAAACCGGTGCCGGCTCATTTAAGTGTTTTTCATTTTAAACCCACTTGTGTGAAATAAAACTCTGACATATGCTCATTGTCTAGTCATGTGAGAATGGAGCCTAGCAATTAGAGAATAATGCTTTTAATTAGATCTACATATGGAAAGCACTCATTGAACTATTAAAAAATAGATTGAGAAACATCAACATTTTGAAGTTTATTTGCATTAAAATAGATTAAAGTCAGGCAGGCCCGAACCAAAAAAGATTAGGAGCACTCCACCAACCAGAGCTCAGGGAAAGGTGTTGATAGCTAAGACTAGCAAATCAAAGTACTTGATTGGCTATAGTTCAAGCCATTGCCTTATTAGGACAGCCTACTTGGTAGGTAGTGATTAGTAGTTCTTAAATTTCATTTTCTCAAATTCAAATGCATTAACTCTGGCTTAGGTTTCAGTTTGCTTATGAAGCTACCAGGTAAGCTACTAGGCATTAGAGTCACCACAGTCTAATAATGGCCTCCTTGCCTAAGTACTTTAACCAAATGCTCACATTATTCCTTTACTTCTTTTTTAAAATACATGGTTTTTATTTCAAAGAGGAGAGAAAAAGAAACATCAACGATGAGAGAGAATCATCTATCAGCTGCCTCCTGCACCTCCCGAACCCTCACTGGGGATTGAGCCTCTAACCAGAAATTGAACAGAGACCTCTGGTTCATGGGTCAATACTCAATCATTGAGCCACATAGTCTGGGTTCCTTTATTTCCTTTTTTTTAATGTTTATATTGATTTGAGAGAGAGGGAGAGAGAGAGAGAAACATTGATGGGCTGCCTCCTACACACCAGCATTAGGGATTGAGCCAGAAATCCTGGCATATGCCCTGATCAGGAATTGAACCAGCAACCTTTCAGTGCATAGGGTAGCTCTCAACCAATTGAGCCACACTGGCCAGGGCAATTATTCCTTTATTTCAATGTCTTGTCTCATCTCAGCTAGTTGAAACAGATTTTGGACAGTTAAGCCTTCTAATGGCAATATTAAAGTGTTATTTATAATGCAAACTCCCAAATCTCAGTTGCCCATCATTAGCTATTATTAGCTATTATTTTCATTGCCCAACTTGAAGCCCTCCCTTAATCAGCCCTGATTAGCTTGATTTCAGAAAATTCAAGATTTGGGCCAAGACCGGTTTGGCTCAGTGGATGGAGCGTTGGCTTGGGGACTGAAGGGTCCCGGGTTCGATTCCGGTCAAGGGCATGTGCCTTGGTTGCGGGCATATCCCCAGTAGGGGGTGTGCAAGAGCAGCTGATCGATGACTCTCTCTCATCGATGTTTCTGACTCTCCATCTCTCTCCCTTCCTCTCTTTACAAAGTCAATATAATATATTAAAAAAAAAAAGAAAAGAAAAGAAAATTCAAGATTTGGGGTTAAATTCATATTTTCATTCTGCCTTCACATCCTTGTTACACAATAGAGACACCATCTGAGGCAACCTCTAACCAGAGATTAGGGAAGTGATAGGGAAATATCCCACTCTAAGTGTGGGACATAACTATTTATAAATTTTATAGGGACATGGCTATTTGTGTAATATCCACAAAGTCTAAACCACTGATGCTTTAATAAACCTTTATTATAATTAAAACCACCTACATGTTGGCATCCTTGGTATTTCAGAGCAGAAGGTGTGGCTAGTGTCAATTTATATGAAGAATGATTCAAACTACTAATGCAATGCAATTATGTCATCTCATGAATGCTTATAACATCCGCATACTTTTTGGTAGGAAGTGTAGTGGCTTCTTTAGGGAAATACATTTTGTGTATTTTATAAAACATTCTTCTGTCCTGATCCATCCAAAACACCCAACCCAAAGAACACAACTCAATATAACCATCGGATTAATTCTAATATAGTGGCTTTTTTTTACTATTTTATTTTATTGTGATAAAATATATGTAACAAAAGAATCTAAAACTTACCATTTTAAAGTGTACAACTTGGTGGCATTAATTACATTCACATTATGCAACCATCACTACTTCCAAGATTTTTCATCACCCCAAATAGAATTCTGTCCCATTAAGCAACAAATCTTCATTCCCTCCTCCCCAGATAACTTTTTAAAAATATATATATTTTATTGATTTTTTTACAGAGAGGGAGAGAGAAGGATAGAGAGCTAGAAACATCGATGAGAGAGAATCATCGACCAGCTGCCTCCTGCACACTCCCTACTGAGGATGTGCCTGCAACCAAGGTAAATGCCCTTGACTGGAATCGAGCCTTGGACCTTTCAGTCCTCAGGCCAACGCTCTATCCACTGAGCCAAACCGGTTTTGGCCCCAGGTAACTTTTAATCTATTTTCTAGCTCTGAATTTGCCCTTGTTCTAGATATTTTATGTAAGTGGAATAAACATTTTAAAATTTGTCTTTTTGTGTCTGGCTTATTTCGCTTGATGTAATGTTTTCTAGATTCATCCATGTTGTAGCATGTATCAGAACTTCATTTTTTATGTGGTGGCTTAATTTTGTGTTTTAATTTCTTACATTATATAATTGTTTGGAAGAGGAAAACTAAAGTAAATAAGTTTACTTCATTCTGCCATCAAATAACTACTGCCTTTCAACTCCCCTCACCTGGCAATCTATCTCAACTAACTAGACACTTAAATTCTCAAAATAGCCAACGAAGCAAGTTAACCCACATCTACAATCAAGAGCTAAAGGATGTACTTTGCTCATCATCTGTCCTGGATTTCTCTAGCATTAAAGATCTCTCCTCCCTTGAGGCTTTTCCTACCTCCAACAGCTTTTCATCCATATCCAAGTCAGATTTGTGGAAAGGGAAGTTTGAAGACCCGAAAATCATGCCTACCCATTTTCCAAACACGTGAAGGATTAAAATGTTGGCTCCTTTGAATTATAGATATTGGTGTGAAAAACCATTCACACACCTTTGCTCTCTTGCAGACAACAAAACATTCTGTGCACTTGCATTATTTAAATGTGAGCAGCTGTTATCGTCCTCTATAAAAAGTGGCAAGCCAACCCTGGCCAGTGTGGCTCGGTTGGTTGGGCACCGTCCTGTACTCCAAAAGGTTGCCGATTTGATTCCTGGTCAGGGCACAGGTTGGGTTCCAATTGGGGTGCCCATGAAAGGCGATCAATCAATGTTTATCTTTCACACTGATGTTTCTCCTCTCTCTTTCCCTTCCTTCCTGCCTACCTTATTCCCTCTAAAATCAATAAAAACATATTTTTTAAAAAGTGGCAAGCTGTATGCATTCAAGTACATTTTTAATTGTGGTTCATATAGATTTACACTTGGGAAGAGGCTGAAACAAAAACAAAACCAGCTAACAGAGCCGTTAATTAAAAAACGTATTAATTATTGTGAGAAGCAATCAAATGAAAATCAATCTTAGATAACAAATTTCTAATCACGTAAAGACATTTTTTTTTTTACTGACATTTTCCATTATTGGGAGATCCTGGATATAATAAAGAAATACATAAAATAGAAACGTTTAAGTAAATGGGATTATTTGGTTCATTTCAGAAGGCCTACTGGTCCAACTGCCAGCCACACAAGTCTCTGGGTCCTCAGCGAAGCGTGACCAGTTCTTCTGAGGAGGTAGGGTGAATGGCAACCGTGTTGTCAAAGTCGGCCTTTGTGGCTCCCATTTTGACTGCAACCGCAAATCCCTGCAGCATTTCATCACACCCAATTCCTTGCATGTGGATCCCAACCACCTGGGACACAAAAGAGAAAGATGCCTACTATTTAAAAACCTCTAAAAAATGTACATCTCTAATGACCCAGCCTCAACATCCCTCCACAGCCCGCCCACACAGCCCTCCCTCCAAGGCACTCACCCATGCTCTCGCCTTTGCACAAACTGTTCACTATCGGGACAATCTTCCCTCTCCTATTTTTAAGGGTTAAAGCCCATTTATTCTTTTTAAAAATATATATATTTTATTGATTTTTAACAGAGAGGAAGAGAGAGTTAGAAACATTGATGAGAGAGAAACATTGATCAGCCGCCTCCTGCACACCTCCCATTGGGGATGTGCCCATAACCAAAGTACATGCCCTGGACAGGAATCGAACCTGGGACCTCCCAGTCCGCAGGCCGACGCTCTATCCACTGAGCCAAACTGGTTTCGGCCATTTATTCTTTAAAATAGCTATATTTCTTTCCATACCAAGTTAAACTATCACATGATCTCTCACGACCAATAATTTTCCACCATAGTTCTATCACAACTTCAGTGTTCTATTTTTGTTTGGGGACTAGACTTTGCAGTCCATCTTATCCAGGTGAAGGGGCTCCTGTCTGCTCTCGCTCCCCACTCTATCCCTATGGCCAAGCACAAGCATGGCTCTTAGGAGGCACTCAGTCCATAATGTTGAATGACTGAACAAAGGAGTATACTAGATGTACCAGTTAATAATGCAGATTTTTTAATATAATTATATATATATAATTTAATTTGTATAAAAGTCCAATAGGCTGACCTAATACCAAAACAAAACCTACTTCAAATATTCTGTTTTAAAAAAACCTGTTCAGCCCGGCCAGTATGGCTCAATGGTTGAATGTTGACTATGAACTATTATAGAACATCACGGTCGAATTCCTGGTCAAGGCACATGCCCAGGTGCAGGCTTGATTCCCAGTAGGGAGTGTGCAGGAGCCACCTGATCAATAATGTTTCTTTCTCTTTCTTCCTCTCTCTCTCCCCTTCTTTCAACTCTGAAATCAATAAAAATATATTTTAAAAAACCCAACCTGTTCGAATTCAAACCCAAACCACAATAAGATACCACTTCATGTCCACTAGGATGGCTATAATAAAAATGATAATAACCAGTGTTGTGCAGGGTGTGGAGGAATTGGAACCCTCATATATGGCTGAGGGGAATGTAAAATGGCAGCCACTTTGGAAAATAGTTCAGTAGTTCCTCAAAAAGTTAAACCAAAATCAGATAATTTTACTGACTAAACTTCCTCTTCTTCACTGATTGGTTATATTAAGTTTACCTTGCGTTAAATTCTTACACTTAACAATATATCTGAGTTTCCTATCTATTCTGGTTTATCGGCCCATGACAGCAAGCCTTTTGTGGTTTTCAACCTTTCCCCTAATGGTAGTGGTAGAACCTTCTTTCTAAATAAAATATTATGAAGAACCTCAGTATACAGACAGATAGTTAAAGTGGGTCCACACCAGTTGAGTCAAAATGCCCCCATCACACCAAAATGCCCCCGTCCCTGCCAACCTTAAAGTCACTCATTAGCTTACTGGGTGTTTCCCATACCTTCTCCTCTTTGTTAGCACAAACCATTTTCATCACACATTTTGTTTTCCTTTTGGTAACCGCATGATACATTGGGGTAAAGGTGGTTGAATAGGTCTTCACATTTTCTTTTCCATATTTAGAAACGGCCTCATCTATAATATACAGGGAAAAAACATTATCAAAAACTAAACAATTCCACTGACCTATCAAAGAGAGCAAGAAATACATAACCTCCCTCAAATCATAAAGAAATACCAAACAAAACCACAATGAGTGATAGTCTACAAAACAAATTTTGATGTCGTGAAAGATAAAAGACAGGAATTTTGTCTGTCGATTAAAGGAGACCAAAGAGGTTATAAGAACTAAATGCAGAGCGTTATCCTCAAATGAATGCTGGACTTGAGAGAGAAAACTGTTAAAAATGACATTATTTGAGATAACTGGCTAAATCATAATAAGGTTTAAAATTGAGATAATATTGTATCAATTTAAATGTTCTTGTTGAAAATTGCACTGTACTTCTGTAAGGGACAACCTGGTCTTGGTTGTCACACACTAAAGTGTGTGTGTGTGTGTGTGTGTGTGTGTGTGTGTGTAAAGAAATTGTTAAAGTAAAAATGTTAAGGGTATTAAAGAATCCTCTATATTATTTTATCATTTTTCTTTTTATATTTGTAAGTAGTTAAAAAAAAAATCAAAGAGGTAGAGAGGGTGGTGTGGGAAAAGGAATTATACTCTCAAAGTGGCAGGAGTCAGGGAGGAAACTGGAACTGTGACAAGAGGCTAACGAAAAAGAACTGTAAGTTGGGGGCTGAGAGAGACTTAGTCAGCTGACAGACACCTTTTTTAAAGTTAAGGGCAGAAGGAAGAAAACGGTAAATATCTACCTTCCGTGAGTCCCACTGTGCCAATAGGGGGGTGGCTGAAGACCACCGTGGGGATGTTGTCATAGTCTAATTTGGAATCTACTTTGCATTCAAAGAGTCTGTGGGCAAGTTTTCGGCCAGCAGCGATGGCAACTGCAAAGATATTTTAAAATCAGTGGTTAGTTTATTGCTCATTTTAACACAGCTATTTGCTTACCTGGCTTAACATGCTAGTTCTGAAAACACTTTATGCCAATGTTCATTATACTACCCAGTTCAATATAATGGACACATATCAATGCTTTAGTTAACAATTCCAAACTAGCAGTTTATTATGACAAAAAAGAAAACAACACATTTACAGGTTCTCAGTCATTTGATAGTCATCTATTTAACGAGGCTATTAGTTTTGTGATATACTACTTATGGAGCAATCTTTATTTGTCTTGAGCATCTTCAGTTCTACTTTATAACCATATTCAGTTCACACTAATATTTTAACATCTACTTGTAAAATTATTTATCTATTTACCAATCTATTTTTTTCATTGATCTTTAGAGAGGAAGGGGAGAGGAATAGAGAGTGGAACATCAATCGACTGCCTCCTACATGTGCTCTACTGGGGATCGAACCGGCAACCTGGGCATGGAACCGACAACCTTTCAGTGCACAGGGCAATGTCCAACCAAGCCACTGAGCAACACTGGCCAAGATATTATTTATTTATTTATTTGGTCATTTATTCATTTATTTATTTATGTAAAAGTTTATTCTCCTTAGCCTGTTTTTATTCATAATAGTCTTTTAGAACAAATGCCTGAGTTCAGTAAAAGCATCAGTTATTAATTTTATTGATTTCAAATTGACAAGTTTCCTCCCTCCCCCAAAATAAGGTATCAGTAGGATAGATGAGAAATTTTTTCACTTTGACATAATTTTCGACCGTTAGATTATGTTTTAAAGTTTTGAAGCTCAGCCTGTTATTTTGCTTTTGAGAGAACTTCTAAAGACGTCAAGCCGAAGCCGGTTTGGCTCAGTGGTAGAGCGTCGGTCTGCAGACTGAAAGATCCCAGGTTCAATTCCTGTCAAGGGCATGTATCTTGGTTGCGGGCACATCCCCAGTGGGGGGTGTGCAGGAGGCAACTGGTGGATGTTTCTCTCTCATCGATGTTTCTAGCTCTCTATCTCTCTCCCTTTCTCTCTGTTAAAAAATCAATAAAATATATTAAAAATAAATAAATAAATACGCCAAAAGTTTTGGGTGTGTACCTGGGGCAATTTCTGTTATGAGGTAAGACCCAGGACCATTTTGGAATGGCTGGTGAGGTCCCAGAGGGGGATGGAGTGAAAGCGGTGGAGTGGTGCTAATATCCTGAAGTGGGACAGAGAGCTTGAAAAGGTGCCAGTTAGCTCAGGAAGTAGGTTGTGGTACAGATTCTGAGGATGGGATCAGTCTTGGTTGTATCAAGACTAAATAGTCATATAAGAATGCCACCCTAAATTACTTCTTCCCACATCCACTTCTTTCCACTGTCAACCACACACAACCCAGATTCTAACTTTCAGCATTTTTCAGGGGATCATCAATATAAAAATGTCAGTCTTCACCAAGCATTTTTGTTTATTTAAAATATATTTTTATTGATTTTAGAGAGGAAGGGAGAAGGAGAGAGAAATAGAGACATCAATGATGACATTTGATTGGCTGCCCCCAACACACTCACACTGGGGATCAAGCCCGCAACCCAGGCATGTGCTCTGACCGGGAATCAAACCGTGACTTCCTGGTTCATAGGCAATGCTCAACCACTGAACCATGCTGGCTGGGCTTCACTAAGCATTTTTATTTTTATTTATTTATTTATTTTTATTTTTTTATTTTTTATTGATTTTTTTACAGAGAGGAAGGGAGAGGGATAGAGAGCCAGAAACATTGATGAGAGAGAAACATCCATCAGCTGCCTCCTGCACAACCCCTACTGGGGATATGCCCGCACCCAAGGTACATGCCCTTGACCGGAATCAAACCTGGGACCCTTCAGTCCACAAGCTGACGCTCTATCCACTGAGCCAAACCAGTTAGGGCTCACTAAGCATTTTTAAACCAAAAATGAGCATCATTCATAAAAATGTTAGGGATCCAACCAACATCTATTCCAATACATTTTTTTAAAAATCATTTTGATGATATAACATGTCTTCCTTTTGGCTTTGCTTAAGCTGATTTGACTGTGAACTGCTAAACTGTTTTATACAAGACACAGAGCCTCCCTTCCCCAAGAAAAGAAGACACGTTACCTGGAGTAAGAAGAGCCTTTCCACACACATCCCCAACTGCGTAGATGCCTTTGACACTAGTGTTCTGGAATTCATCCACGATAATGTGACCTTTGTCGTCAGTCTGAATCCCCTACAATTGTGAACGCACATCATGTAAATATTTGGTCTATTTACCAAAAAAAAAAAGGCAGATCAAATCTCGGATCCACCTCATTCTAGGCACCTCTTCAGCCTGAATCTCTGAGAACCACAAGGCTCAACCACAAGATGGAAAACATCTTTGCAAACTAGAGTGCTTTGTATTTTTTGCCTAATTTAAAAAGGAAATATTTTATCCAATTTTGAGGTAGTTTAACAGGATTTGACTTTGCAATGAACAACTCAATTGGGTAGGTAAAATAAAAAGGAATCATTCAACTAGCAGACGTGCTACTCGCTATCCCCTTAGGACAGTGCTTTCCAACTTTCCCCACTGCAGCACTCCTCCTGAAGGGTACCAGCTCGCACCTCAGAGGGACTCAGCCCAAAGCCATCATCAAAAGCAGATGTTTGAAGCTTACCATTTTATCTTTAAAAATCCACGCAAATTTGGTGTTCTGCTCTTCCTTTTAACCAGTCCCCTACCCCATATATTGAGTTACATTTTTGCTCCAAGATGTGTCATGGTTGTCTTGTGGCTTTCTAGACCCCAGGTGTACATACTCCCATGTGAAAAACAGAACAGAAGTAGGAGTAGATCGCTCAGTGGTTAAGAGTGTATTGTCTCTGAAGCCACATAGAGCTGAGTTCAAATCTAGCTATGAGACCTTGTATAACCATCTTATGAACACATATTTGAACTTCTAGTACAAATGATGCATTAACCCAGACACTGTAAAACAGTGGTAACACAGACATTCTCCTGGCTCCACGGAGTTACAGCCACGAATTATTTTATTAACTCTGTGCTCCTGGTTTCCCCATCCTTACACATCAAAGAGCTGGTGTCAATATTAAAGTAGGTTAGTAACATGTGAACAAGACCTACACATAGGAATCATTCCATCTGAGTTACAAATATAGATTGTAACACTGAATGGGATTAAAGACTTAACCTCTTTTTTTTTTTCTTAACTAAGCAAATATAGTTGAAAACTGGACCTGCCAATGCCTATAGCTGTACAAAGGCAAACATCACTAGAAGGGTAAAAGGCTGAATGACCAGTCTTGTTATATGAAAATAGTTTTACTAAATTTCACTGAACAATAAGATTAAAATTAAGTAAAACATCTTATTTTTAATCTTATTGTTATTCTTTATACCTTTTATAGAAATGAAAAAGGAATCTATATTATAACGGATATTAATATTAGAAGATAAAATATAAGTATTATTTAGTTCTCCAGAGGCTCCATCAAATGTATAAACTTCAAACACATAAAATATATATTATTACTAGAAGAGTAGCAGAGCATCTAAAAAAAAAATCACCACCACCGTCAACAGCAGCTGGCTAACATTTATCGAGTTGATACTATAAGCCGGAATCTCAGCTAATTACTTGACAGGCACTTTCTCATTTATTCTTTTCATCAACTCAATGAGGCAAGCACTGTTATTATTCCCACATTTACATGAAGCAATTCAAACTTAAGAGTGATTATGTTGTTTGTTTGTTTAATAAGGCCATGCAACTGGCAAGTAACAGAACTAAGGTTCAAAACTGGGTCAGACTCTGGGACCCATGCCCCACGCTGCTCCACCAGACTTTCCTTCAAAATTTAAAAGAGCAAACAAGAATGCCAATTATAACGCCAGTAGATCAGCTTCACATCTGTTTCATCCCCAAGTGCCACATCGTCCGGACGATTTATATACCCAGTCATCAGGATGAGCGCCGCAGACCAGAAGGAATGATTGCAGGGCTTTAAAGGGACAAGTATCACAGTGAAAAGGAAATCTGTAAGAAAGAGGTTGGGCAGGAAGCTGCTTGACAGTCCAGACGAGAGGTGGCAGGGACCTGATCTAAGGTGATGATAAACCAAAAAGGATAATCTTTAAAGAAGCAACAATGGGGATTGGGGACAAACTGAATGCAAGGAATAAAGAGGGAAAAATCCAGTAGAACCCACCAAAATTTGGGGGCTCTCTAAGGAGAACACAGGGCTCCTTAGAGATGCAAGCATGTTTTGGGCAGATTAAATCGGCTTACCACTTTGTTTAGATTCAGACCCCTGGAGTTCGGGTCGCGCCCAATGGCCCAGAGTAGGCAGTCAACATCTGGAATCGTGGTCAGCGCGGGTTTCCTCCCCGGAACTGAAGTAACCATGGAGACTTCCAAGCCCGAGGAAGTCTTTTTAACTTCCTTGACCTGTTGGCGAATAAATGTGTTACTTGTAGGGGAGGGAGGAAGGAAAGCAACGAGGAAAAAAAAATTCTTCAGTTGCCCCAAATCATCCAGCCAACAGCCAAAAATGTCAGCTCATGACACCCTCCTAATGCTTCTGCTTAAAAATAAGGTATCTAAACATTCCACAATAAAATTTCCTGAAAAAATAAAGATGTTCAGTAAGGCATCTAAGCATAAAGAAGTAGTTTTAGTTCTAACTGAACTAAATTCAACAACCAGATTTCTGATATTTTATATCTTGGCTTCATTAATACATGAATGAAAAATACAGCATCTTAGGATCAAGAAAAGAATTGGTAGGACTCTAGAAATTGACTAAAAGGAATCAACTGACTGGGGCACACAGGAGTTCCTATTTATAAAATGAATGGGGTGAAGCCAAAAGCACAGAGTGTGATTCATGGCGGCTGTCAGCGTGCCCTGGCGGGGCCATACCTGCGAGTACTTCAGGACCTCTATGCCAGCATTCTCCAGCTCCTCCGTGCAGTTGGAACTGATTATTGAATCAAAACTCCTAAGTACCTGTATACAAATAGAGGCAGCAAAAGGTTGGTGGTAGGAAAGGAAAAAAAAAAAAAAAAAAACCTTGGTTAAAGTTTATGCTATAAATTTGGGAGGGAAATTTCAATATCATCCCCCTCTTAGCTCCTTCTTTGTTTGTTTTGTTTTGTTGATATTCACCCAAGGATATATATATATATATATATATATATATATATATATATATATATATATTTCCATTGATTTTTAAAATATATATATTTTATTGATTTTTTACAGAGAGGAAAGGAGAGAGCTAGAAATGTCGATGAGAGAGAAACATCGACTAGCTGCCTCCTGCACACCCTCTACCGGGGATGTGCCCGCAACCAATGTACATGCCCTTGACTGGAATCGAACCTAGGATCTTTCAGTCTGCAGACCGACGCTCTACCACTGAGCCAAACCAGCTTCAGCTCCATTAATTTTTAGAGAGTGGGAAGGAAGGAGGGAGAGTAGGGAGAGAAAAACATCGATTACTTGCCTCTTCATTTCTCAGAGCCAAAGCTCATTAATTCCCTTCCCATATCTATGGAAGCACTTTATTTTTTCTTAATTGTATTCAGAATATCAAGTTGAGGTGAGAAGACCAGGGCAATTGGTAAGTTATATCTTTGGAGGCATTTACATATGCTTTAAGGTTGCTGTTATAACAATATTCTCACAGCAATCATTCACTTGATCTTTGTCAAATGCCATCATTCGTTTAAATTAGTAGACATGCAGTGAATGTCTATTTTTGGGATTTACTCTAAAAGGTGCTAGGAGGATATGAATATGGCTATGGACACCCTCTTCCCTTTCCAGTGGAAGAGAAAGACATGCAACTCTTGCAAGCTAATCTGAGGTAAACCCTGTAAATCATTCATTCTATCAACACATGCTTATCAAGCTCTACTATGTGGGAAACATAAAATACCAGAATAATTGACAGACTAAGAAGTAACGTAAAGGATGTACAGAGACGGTGGTTTATAAAAGATAGAAATCATACAAAGAAAACAGGGAAGGTTTCATGGAGAACGTGGCATTTGCATCGGATCTCAATGACGTGTGAAGGGAAAGACCTTTAAGGAGAAGAGTCCATCCTATATAATAAAAGGCCAATATGCAAATTGACCAAACAGCGGAACAACTGGTTGCTATGATGCACACTGACCACCAGGAGACAGATGCTCAACTCGGAGCTGTGCCCTGGTGATCAGTGCACTCCCACAAGGGGAGCGACGCTCAGCCAGAAGCCGTGCTCAACACTGGTGAGCGCTAAAGTCCCCTAAGTGCTAAGCTGGGCTCACGGCACCGCAGCAGCACTAAGGACCCCTCGGGGATATCTGTCGAGGGGTCCCAGACTGGGAGAGGGTGAGGGACCGCCACCTCAGTGCACGAATGTCATGCACCGGGCCTCTCGTATAAAGATAAGGAGATGGGACTAGGTTACAGCTGGAGAATAGCACACAGGCAGGACTGAACAAAAGAAATCTGAAGAAACAAAGTGGGGAATAGACTAGAGAGAGTTCAACTCCTTCTGGAAAACAGGGGGTATGTCCAATGAGACTGCTTTTATGAGGACTCAGTCTATACTGAGAGATGCTCAGATCTGACAAATCACAACAGCAGGTCAATATGCCAGGAAATATATTTATGGAGGATTTGGTGGTGATGGTAATGATGACAGAGAGGATGATGACCTTGGTGACAGGATGATAGGAGTGATGAAGAGGAAAAGGATACTCAGTGGGAGAGACGGATCTTTTTGGGGGAAAATGGAAAACGTACATTTTTGGTGAAAGTCTATCCTAATTCTTCTTAAGGTATTCGTCACAGGGGAGATCATGGAATTGATAATGCAGTAGATTTAATAGTCAGCTAAGCTAATTAAAGGAGGCAATGAATCTAATGAGATGTGACCCAGCCTCTTTCAAACAAAAGAAGACACAATGAAAGACAAGTAAGACTGGTAACGAGGAAACAACCTAAGGAATGTAATTAACCTGAAGAACCCAGTGACAATGGATAAATTAACGGGTAGTATTAATTGAAGCAGAACTGTTAGATTTTAAAAGCATTTATTATTTACACCTAATAAGCTTTAGTATCTAGTCCCCAAAATTAAGCATTGTTGTTATTTTTCACTTAAGATGCTGAAATAGCTGTTCTTTGCTTGCCCTTATGAAGTTCCGTGATTATGAGAATCACACAGCCTTGAGCTAATTAGGAGCCACGTGAATTCTCCAGTATAACACCACTGAAGTAAGGAATAGAATTGACATCATAGTTAATCTACATTTTTGCTACCAGGATTTTTGCCCTTTTTTTTTCAGAATTCTCAGTATTATTTCCAGTTGCATTTCAATGTTCTTATGAGGGCTTCCATTACTGCCCTACGGAGGCTGTTCTTTATATATAACAGTTGTTACTGTCTAGCAACTTTCTTTTCTCATAGGGTCCTCTTTCTTTCTCTAGACACGTTTTTTTTGTGATAATACGTATGCAACATATCCTAGGCAGGGTAAAGGTGGGGGGTTGTGAGTTATTAGAGGCTACTTCTAGCATAGAGTTATGCTGGGACATGGAGGAAAGGGAGAAAGAGCCTGAGGCACTGGAGACGGGAGAGGGCAGGAAGCCCGAGTAGACAGGGACTCTCGGCAAACAAGCCACTTTTCCAAATGCAGGAAATGAACCACCCTTCGGATAGACTGCTGCAGTTCATTTGCTTATTTACATATTAAATTCAGGCTAGCCATCCCTCTGCCTTCCTCCTTCCTTCCAATTTGCTGGCTGTATTCCAGCAATGCAAAATATAACATGACCTATGAAAAACATTCAGGACGTAAATTAAAAACTGGTTTGCCCTGAAGGGTGTTCCAGATCAGGGTGAGGGTTCCCTTGGGGCATGGGGCGGCCTGGGTGAGGGCCTGTGGTGTTTTGCAGGCCAGCCACACACCCCAAGCAACCCAAGTGGAGGCCATGGTATCTGGGATTTATTTATCTTCTCTAATTGAAACTTTGTAGCCTGGAGTGGAGCCAAGCCTCTTGCTCACTCCATGGCCGCAGCCATTTTTGTTGGGATTTATTTATCTTCTATAATTGAAACTTTGTAGCCTTCAGTGAAGGCCTGGGCCCTCCAGAGTGTGCGGAAAGCTTGGCTTCCTCCATTGCCTGGGAAACCCAAGCCTCCTGCTTGCTCTGTGGCCACTGTCATTTTGGTTGGGATTAATTTGTATACTTGCGCCTGACTGGCTGGTGGGTGTGGCTTTTTGGTGTAGCGGAGTGATGCCTAATTTGCATATTACTCTTTTATTAGCTAGGATACCACTTTGTCATCCACCAATGGACACTTGGGTTGCTTCCACCTCATGGCTATTGCAAATAATGCTTCCATGAATATCTGCATGTAAATATTTTTGACATTTTTTCTTTTAATGCAAAGAACTTAGTTGACTGTTAAAAATCCAATAGTACCTGATTGAATAAAATTGGTTTCCAGAATAAAAAATTAAACCGATCCTGTGTGTACTACCTAGTATACATAATAAAAAGACCAGCCAGTTTGATAAAAATCGAAATCATTATTATCAATCAGCAGCTGGTAGCTGGGAAGGACATAAGGCCTAATTCAAATGGCTTCTATGAGCATCACATGGGACAAAGCAGCCAACTTCCACAGGCTTTGCACCCTAGTGTTTAATGACAACACAAGAGAAAATTCTCATGGCGGTTTTTAAAAAGATGAACATCAGAAAGGAGAAGGTAAAAGGGTGGAATTTACCTTATCGTGTCGTATCATGAGTGATGTCTTGGAACCCAGGGCAGACAGGATCCCCGCTATCTCCACGGCGATGTACCCTGCACCCACAATGACGCTACGGCTGAAGTGAAAGCACAGGGTCGAGATTTTAAAATAAACCTATTTTTGAGTAATTTTAGGTTTATAGAAAAGTTGAAAAGCTGACACAGAGATTGCCTATACACTTCTGCCCAGTTTTCCTCAAAATTGACATCTTACATAACCATGGAACAGTTGTCAAATCTAAGAAAATGACATTGGTACAATTTGAACGAATTCATTTAAATTCATGTATTGCTAGCTAGCAATGCAAGTTTAAGAAATGATTTTAAAACGTCTAATGCAAAACAAAAAAATAAAGTAAAATGTTTAATGCACATTTATATAATAAAATGTCTCTGAGAGCGAGTCTAGGTTGAATTATATAATCCAATAAACAAGACGAGTCATGACCATACGTGTCACATCATTCAGCCCTCAAAGCAAACAGTACAGGGTGAATCACGAGGGAAATAAAAGGCTGTTTTGTAACATGTTTCCATGCTCCACAGACTAAAAAGGCCGTTTGCTCCGGAACTGGTTTGGCTCAGTGGATAGAGCGTTGGCCTGCGGACTGAAGGGTCCCAGGTTCGATTCTGTCAAGGGCGCGTACCTTGGTTGCAGGCACATCCCCAGTGGGGGGCGGGGGGAGTGCAGGAGGCAGCTGATGGATGTTTCTAACTCTCTATCCCTTTCCCTTCCTCTCTGTAAAACATCGATAAAATATATATTTAAAAAAATAAAAAATAAAAGACGTTTACAAACTTAAAAAAAAAAAAAAAAAAAAGGCTGTTGGCTCATCTCAAAGTCAAAAGATGGTCCAGTCTGCATATCTCAATGGGACAATTTCGCTGCAGCCTGGAACTGCAAGGAAACCCTCTTGTCCCCCATTAACTGTGGCTGCAGGTAAAGCTTCTGTGCTCAGTTTGGTGGGGCCGGGTCTCAGGGCGGAGCTTCTGTGCTGGGTTTGGATGGAAAGGTGTGGGCATGACTTGCTGGCCGCCCTCCCGCAAAGACCTTTATGAAAACACAGGGTGAAGACCTCAGACTGTGTTGGCAGCACCTGCTCTGGGTGTAGCAGAGTTGGACTGCTGACTCTGGAGTGAGTGTTACCGGGAAGGAGATCCAGTCCCTGCACTAAGGGACCCTGCTCCGGTGCCTGAGTGTCGCCTCTTCCCTTGAGTGCAGGGAGGACCCCTCTGACTTAGGAAGTCTGCCATTGGGGGCTTCCATGAATCAGAGAAAACTTCTTCCTCCTTGTATTTCTCCTCTCTGGGTGTCTAAACCCATGGCAGACATTCTCTAAGGTTATCTGGACAAACACACAGAGGGCACGGTTTCGGAAAATCTATTTTCGTGAGCCTGACAGAGCCTTCCTCTGTGCACTAGCTGCTCTGAACACCAAAAGCAGGTATTGGAGACACCTCATCGGTTGATGCTGCATCAAGCTGAAGACAGAAGATCGTGTTAGGGCTTTACCGTGTTTGACTCTGGTTCTAAAAATTCTGCAATGGACTCTGCCCAAAGGCATGAAAGACCCGAGTTACTTCATGAGGGGTAAGAGTGAATGAGAGATCCGATGTCATAAAAAGAGACGATAGGGCCGAAACCGGTTTGGCTCAATGGATAGAGCGTCGGCCTGTGGACTGAAGGGTCCCGGGTTCAATTCGGACAAGGACATGTTCCTTGGTTGCGGGCACATCCCCAGCAGGGGGCGTGCAAGAGGCAGCTGATCAATGACTCTCATTGATGTTTCTAACTATCTCTCTCCCTTCCTCTCTGTAAAAAACCAATAAAATATATTTAAAAAGAGAGAGAGAGAGAGAGAGAGAGAGACAGAGAGAGACACACGTTAGGAGATCAGAACCAGGAAAGCCTGCATCTCAGGCTGAGGGTGGAGGGGGAGAATGTCAGAGGAGACATGAACACCGAGGTCAGGAAGAACACCAGCTTACCCAGGCAATTCCTCCAGCTGAAAAAATCCATCACTGGTTATCCCCAGGCTGGCACCTAGGAAAAGTGCAATACGGATCACACGGACTGAGCTTCCTCTGGGAAAATAATCACATCTTACACAAGAACCCATACTTTCTTAGCCACCATGCTTTCTGTTTTGACAAGTTTGTAAAAGTCCTCACTTGGGAAGCTGCCAACCAAGCCTTTTCCTGGTAGACATTTATTTCCCTCTGGAAATAAGAACAGTGATGACCAAATAATTATCAAATTCCTCTGTGAAACGAACATTTGCTCAGCTCTTAAGAGTAGACGCTGCTGCCAAATCCGGTTTGGCTCAATGGATAGAGTGTCAGCTTGGGGACTGAAAGGTCCCGGGTTCGATTCCGGTCAAGGGCATGTACCTTGGTTGCGGGCATATCCCCAGTAGGAGGTGTGCAAGAGGCAGCTGATCGATGACTCTCTCTCATCGATGTTTCTAACTCTCTATCTCTCTCCCTTCCTCTCTGTACAAAATCAATAAAATATATATTAAATTAAAAAATCTAAAAAAAAGAATAGACGCTGCTGGCTTCGCTTCACTCCCCGCCCTCCAATCACACACACACACACACACACACACACACACACACACACACACCCCACCCCCGGCTGTTACTCATAAGCCTTGGGCTCTGGAGACTCACCCGGGATCTGGCTGTCCTGGGGCTGCGAGGGCACGCCGCCTGTTGCAATCAGGATGTGAGGAGCGGTGTACTTCTCCCCGTTGACCTCCACGGTGGGCCTGGGGTCCCCTGTGAACGCGGCGTAGCCAGTGATGATCTCTATATTGGCCTGGAGAAGGAGACGTGACGTGAGAATGTTGGGAAGCTAAGACAAAAGCACCCGCTGCACTTATCTGAGCTTTCCCTCTACTGAGGATTCTGAATTTGGGTTTGCTGAGGCCAAGACAACTCCCAATGTCCGAGTTTCCTCAGAACTTCTGTTAACTGATTCTTTTATATCTATATATCTATATATCTATATATCTATATATCTATATATCTCTATATATCTATATATCTATCTATCTATATATATTTTTATTGATTTTTTACAGAGAGGGAGAGGGATAAAGCGCTAGAAACATCGATCAGCTGCTTCCTGCACCCCCCCCCCCCCCATTGGGGATGTGCCCGCAACCAAAGTACATGCCCTTGACAGGAATCCCACCAGGGACCTTTCAGTCCGCAGGCCAATGATCTATCCATTGAGCCAAACCGGTTTCTGCTGTTAACTGATTCTTAGGTAAGGGGGTTGCCATTCGATGCTGGAAATGTACGAGTAAGAAGAAATAAAGGTGCTTATTTGGGCCAAAACCCAGAGACCAAAAAGAACAGGCAAGTCACCCCTACAAGGAAAAAGATACATTTGTCCCCAGGACTTGAGGGGGAAAGTCTCACTCCCAATGGGAACACCATGAAGAATGGTGTTGTCTGGAGGAGGAACAGAGGGCTGAGGAAGAAAGAAAGATAAAGGCAAAAGGAGCAGAGAAAAAAGAGAAATGCTCAGGCCACGGCAGGAAAAGGCGATGCTTCGAGGTTTCTTAAACCAAATGGGAAGAATACCACCAACTGACATGACAACGAAGGTCCAGGCTAGAGATGCTGAGAACTCAAACGCCCACTTGCTCTTGCTGTGCCTGGGGCCTCCATTCGGGGAGCCTCCATTGAGGACTGGAGATTGCCAGCAAGCTCCTGCCAGCTATGATGCATGTATTGGCATGCAAACGTGGGCAGCTTACAAGGATAATGGCCTCATGCAAACAGGATTACAGAACAGAATGTTGGAACACTTTAGAACATGCTTGGTTCTGAATTAAACTGTTGCCTCTTTTGCAATCACCCCTCCAGGCCTGCTCTGCGCGTGCCCTGCTTAATCAGGATGAATCAAGATCAGTGCCCAAAGCCACAAGCCTGCACAACATCCTTCCTACGGGAGGTGGTAATTTCTTAGGGGGTACTAGCCAAAAAGGGGTATGCATCAAGTGGCACTAATATAGACAGTGGTTTGGAGGAAGAACTGATGAGATTTCTGTTTTCATTTCCCAGGATATTTGCAGAAAGTTTCCTCTCCCATTCACAATTCCTTCCCCATAACGTCAAGGTGAGTTATAGGGCACTCAAAGATTGGTGAGTGTTAAAAAATGCTGTTTCTTGCTGAGACCGGTTTGGCTCAGTGGATAGAGCATTGGCCTGTGGACTGAAAGATCCCAGGTTCGATTCCGGTCAAGGGCATGTACCTTAGTTGCTGGCACATCCCCAGTAGGGGGTGTGCAGGAGGCCGCTGATAGATGATTCTCTCTCATCGATGTTTTATACTCTCTATCCCTCTCTCTTCCTCTCTGTAAAAAATCAATGAAATATATATATATATTTTTTTTTTAAAAATGCTGTTTCTTGAGTGGCTTTCCTATCATTTTTGTACTTAGGTAGCTCCACTTTTTAATAAAATCTGATGTGGGTGTTTTAGTAGAACAACTGTTATCTCTATACTCGTGTCTGATAGACTTCAAATGTCTTGTCATCGGTGCCTAGGGGACCGAAGGCCCCAAGTATTTTCCCCTTGAATTGAGGATTAAGGTCAGAAAACCTCAACATCCAAAAAGAAACCCAGAGAATGATAAGACTCAATATAAAAATGTCTGAGGTTAGCCATCTGTAGAAGTAACTCAAACTAAAAATTGGCTTATCAACAATCTGCTAAGGAGATTACAGTGGCCCAAATATCATCATGAATCCTCCGTGTGGCTCAGCAGTGAGCGCTGACCCAAGAACCAAGAGGTTGCTGGTCTGGGCACAAGCCCTTGTTGTGGACTCGATCCATCAACAAGGAGCATGCAGGAAGCAGCCGATTGATGATGTTCCTCTCTCACTGATGTTCCTATCTCTCTATCCTTCTCCCTTTCTCTCCCTCTAAAAACCAATAAAAAATATTTTTTAAAAAAAAAAAAGAATCTTCTGATCTAAATATAACCTCAAATCTTAGAAATTGCAAAGTGAGAGTAAAAAGGCAAATGAAGGGTGATGAGATATATGCTGTCAAGAAAGTCGATGGCCGAAACTGGTTTGGCTCAGTGGATAGAGTGTTGGCCTCGAGGGCATGTACCTTGGTTGCGGGCACATCCCCAGTGGGGGGAGGGGGGTGCAGGAGGCAGCTGATCGATGTTTCTCTCTCATCAGTGTTTCTGGCTTTCTATCCCTCTCCCTTCCTCTCTGTAAAAAAATCAATAAAATATAAATTTATTTTTTAATTTTTAAAAAAATATATTTTATTGATTTTTACAGAGAGGAAGGGAGAGAGACAGAGAGCTAGAAACGTCAATGAGAGAGAAACATCGACCAGCTGCCTCTTGCACACCCCCTACTGGGGATGTGCCCGCAACCAATGTACATGCCCCTCACCGGAATCGAACCCGGGACCTTTCAGTCCGCAGACCGACGCTCTACCACTGAGCCAAACCGGTTTCGGGAAAATATATTTTTTTTAAAAGAAAAAAGAAAGAGTTGATGATGCAAAATGAGTCAATGCCCCTGGCATAGTCCCAGTGGGAGAGGTATGATATCTGAGCACTAAGACAGAAAAAGCCTCAGGATAGCCAAGAACAACAGGTATTTGCTAAAGGCAAACCCATCTTTACCCAATTTTCTTGATGAGATTTCATTCACAGAAAAACAACCTTCTTAACCATAACTTGGGTTACTGAGTAGATTTAGCCACCAAGGATGAGGGTGCTCTGAGCAAATACGGTAACAATGGCAGGTTTCCATCCAGATAATGCTCCTGATTTTTTTAAAAACTTTTTTTTAAAAACATATTTTATTGCCGAAACCGGTTTGGCTTAGTGGATAGAGCATCAGCCTGCAGACTGAAAGGTCCCCAGTTCGATTCCGGTCAGGGGCATGTATCTTGGTTGAGGGCACATTCCCGGTAGGAGGTGTGCAGGAGGCAGCTGATTGATGTTTCTCTCTCATCGATGTTTCTAACTCTCTGTCCCTCTTCCTTCCTCCCTGTAAAAAATAAAAAATAATAAAAAAATAAAAAAATCAATAAAATATATTTTAAAAAAACAACAAACATATTTTATTGATTTTTTTAGAGAGGAAGGGAGAGGGAGAGAGAGTTAGAAACATCGATCAACTGCTTCCTGCACACTTCCTACTGGGGATGTGCCCTCAACCAAGGTATATGCCCTTGATCGGAATCGAACCTGGGACCTTTCAGTCCGCAGGCTGACGCTCTATCCACTGAGCCAAACCGGTTAGGGCAATGCTCCTGATTTAATTAATAAACTGGCATATTCAGTCTCTTACGGGCTTGGCTTCTGGAACAAACAGGAGAGCCAGGTCTACTCAAGGTACAGCCATCACGTGAGACCTGGTCTCCCAACTTTGACGCACCTCTCTGTGGAAAAGAGACTGGCCCACCAAGTGAGAGGCGTTCTCTGATAGGTCAACCTCAGACTCATCAATCACAAAAGAAGTAACAGAAACAAGGAGAGAGACGGGCAATGGCTATGCTTTAGTCTGGCCAGACTTGTTGGCATAAGCAAGCAACAAACAGCAACTTCTCAAAGCTCAAAGCCCAGCATACTCACCTTGGTCAAATTGTTTTGATAGAGTGTGTTCAGGCGGCTCACATAGGCATCCCGTTTCTCCTTTATAACCCTGCAGGGAAACCCGAGTCAGTGCTGAGAAAGAGGATTCTCCTCCTTCAGTTAGTAACTAGGGCATCTGTCCCCGAACGGAGAATCACAGACCGTCAGTACGAGCCCCATGAGTCAATCAATGTCTCTAAAGACAGCCGCCCCTCCCTGTATCCATCTGCTCTCCCCTATATGGAGAGCGCCTTATTCTGCTCCGTGGAGAATGGCATCCATGGTATGTAGATAACTGCCGGAAGCCAACTCCAGCATGTCAGCAGGGCTGAATCATCTGGAATGGCTGAGGGCATTTCCCCAAACCTGAAAAGGATGCACAAATGATTGCATCCTGCCTAACAGATAAGGTCATTTCAATCTACATGTTATTGCCTCCTACTGGCCACACACCTGAACAGCCAGAGCTAATTCTTCCAATCTAGACAATGGATTCTGTAGACCAAACCCTGGCCTTTGATATGTATATCTACCTTGCGTTAGGACAATTTGTGTTAATAAAAAGCAAGGGGTCCAGAGAGACTGACAACTTAGTTCCTTTAGCTAAGTCTTCTCTGGCTCCCCAAAATGCCTTCCAAAATTATGTTTTGTCTCTGGACTCTTGATTAATTTACGCCTTAGCACTTCTCCAGATCCCTGAACCCTTCTAGATGCTGCATAAAGACCCCCAGCAGGTAACATTTTTCTTTGTACAGAAGACAAAGCTACTTTGCCACAGTACCTAGCATGGTGGTAATAAGAGCTTTTTGGAACCAAATGGTTGACTGCATCTAAGGGAATAAATAATATTCAAATGACACTTGACACTCAATATCTGTTAAATGAATGAATTTGCTAAAATTAAAAAAAATTTTGATGGCTTCAAAAAGTTTATGGCAGCTCCTTAGAAAAATCTAAACATAAAACTGCCACATGACCCAGCAATTGCACTTCTAGGCATCGACCCAAAATAACTGAAGGCATGAACTTGTAGACCAATGTTCATAGCATGATTATTCACAATAAACCAAAAGTGGAAAACCCAAAAGCCCATTGAAAAATGAATGGAGAAACAAAATACGGTATATAAATATAAAATAATATCATCCAGCCTTTAAAAGGATTGAAATTCTGACACAGGCACAAGGATTAACTTTGAATACATTATGCTAAATAAAACAAGCCAGGCATAAAAGGGCAAATATTGTACAAAGTACATAGAATATGCAAATAAGAAAGTAGAATAGAGATACCAGGGGCTGGAGGAGGGGAGAAGAGGTGTTGTTTAATGGGTCCACTGTTTCTGTTTGGGACTGTGGAGAAGTTCTGGGAATGGATAATGATAATGGCTGCACAAGACTATGAATATGCTTAACACTAATGAATTGACAATTTAACCCATCGTATGCCATAAGCATCTGTAGACACAAGTGGCAGATCTCCTCCACATGCCACTTGTGTCTATTAAAAAAAAAAAAAAAAGTTTTCCCTACATGACCTCACTCATTTGTGGACAATAAAAAACATTATAAACTGATGAACCAAAAGATAGATATAGAGACAGTAAAGCAACAAGCAGACTGTCAAATTATAGCGGGGAGGGGAGAAGGATCTGGAGGAGATAATAGATCAACCCAAGGACTTGTATACATGCATATAAGTACAACCAATGGACATAAAACTCTGGGGAGGGAGGGGATATGTGGGAGGGAGGGAGGGGGGCAAAAAAAAAATCAATAAAATATGTAAAAATAAATAAAATAAAATAAAATAAATAAAAAAAATAAAAGTTTTCCCTAAGTGGCAGCCCTGACCAACTTTAAAATCATTTTTGGTGAGAATTTCCAGCCGAAAATATTCAAGAACACTTGAATTGTGAGTAATATAGTTATTTTTATAATATTCATTGCAAACTGATTATTTACATTAAATTCAAACTGTCATGGCATGTGGGGATGGTTTCTGTTTTGGACATGTAGCAATTAATTGGTTAAAAATGGCCAAAACTGCCGAAATCAGTCCGCACACCGATGCTCAGCGGTAGAGCATCGGTGTGCGGACTGAAAGGTCCCGGGTTCAATTCCGGTCAAGGGCATGTACATTGGTTGTGGGCACATCCCTGGTGGGGGGTGTGCAAGAGGCAGCTGGTCGATGTTTCTCTCTCATCAACGCTTTTAGCTCTCTATCTCTCTCCCTTCCTCTCTGTAAAAAATCAATAAAATTTATTTTTTTAAAAATGGCCAAAACTGACATTTGATGTTGTGTGTCTGTAGATGCACATATTTAATGTGTATAGCTTGATGAGTTTAGAGATAAGTACACACCCGTGAAACCCTTGCCACAATTAAATATCTCCATTACCTACAAAAGCTAGTAATATACATTTTACCACAATACACCCCCCCGAAAAGGTTTGTGGAGCATTTAATTCTGAAAGGAAAATATTTATATTTGTAAAAAGAACCCTCTCAGAATGAACACTTACCGCCAATTGAATTTGCCATCACAGCTCTGAAATCCGTAATCGACATGATCATGCATGAATTCAGAGTGCACAGCCGTGTTCCACATTACCTGCAAAAAAAGTACCCAAAACAGTAGTACGTGAGTCCTGAGGGAAAACAGAAATCACCAATGAAAGGTAACTTTATAACAGCCGATGATAATAATACTGGCCTTTAACTTAAAAATGAAACTACGTATTTTAAAGGAGAAAGTTCAGGAATATGACCAGATAGATTTTATAGGGTGGCTTCTGAAATATCGGGGGAAATGACCTCTAGAGTTAAATACCCTAGTTTATAAACTCTGAGAAGCAGGATATTATAAGGCTCAGGGTGCTTCCATTAACATTTATTATTGCTTACACTCTCTTTTGTATATATACATTTTTTGTATATATACTTTTTTTTTTTTTCCTTAACTGATTTCAGAGAGGAAGGGAGAGGGAGAGATAGAAACATCAATGGTGACAGAGAACCACTGCTTGGCTGCCTCCCACATCCCACCCTGGGTATCAAGCCCACAACCCAGGCATGTGCCTTGACTGGGAATTGAACTGTGACCTCCTGGTTCATAGGTTGACACTCAATCATTGAGTCACGCCGGCAGAACTTACCATCTCTTTTGAAGCTTCAGATTTCGTTAAGCTCTGCCTTTTGTGATTAAGTCCAGGAAATGGAATTGCGTCTGTAACTTTACAGCACAGTGATTTGGAAGGAAATTATGAGGTAAAGATGAGGACTGAAAACTTTAAGAGAATGAATTCCTGTTATGTATTCAGTAACTATAAACATGCCCTTGTAAGAGCGTATGTGATCAGACACCAGGAACGCAAAGGTTCAATGCATCTCTTGCAGAATGTAGCCTCCAAACTGTAAAAGCAACCGATCCTCGTGATAACTGAATTCAAAGTGGCATTTGGCACTCTTGATGACAGCCAAACTACCATTTTTCTGGGCCAGACAAGTCTTAATTCCACCTCTGACAAAACTTAAGATTCCTTGTTTGCACCTTTTCCCCTTTATGCCTAATGATGAATGAATTGATGATTACTGGATTCTGTCTCCTTTACTGAGGTGAAATTCATGTAATATAGAATGAACCATTTTATCTGCTAGCTTCTTTTTTTAACGTTTGTATTGTTTTTGTTTTTTTGTTTTTTTGAGAGAGAGAAAAGAAACGGGGGGAGGGAGGACAGAAAGAAACATCAATTAGTTGCCTACTATATGCAACCCAATATGGGATCAAATCCATAACCTAGGTACCCTGTTTCCCCGAAAATAAAACAGTGTCCTATATTAATTTTTGCTCCCAAAGATGCTCTAGGTCTTATTTTCAGGGGATGTCTTATTTTTTCATGAAGAAGAATACGGTACACACTTATTGTTAAATGAAAATAAAGGAAACTTATTACCTGTATACGGTACGATAGTACGGTAGTTGTCAACACAAAGCAAACAAACTGTGAATCCTATAGTATCAAGAATTTACTCATTTATTCAATGACAATCATGTCATCATCTTCTGGAACATCATCATAACAATTCAATTCCTGAATTTCCTGGTGAATTTCTTGTGACTCCATTTCTTTCAGAATCAGTGGACCAAATCTCTCATATTTAGCCTAAGGGGGGGCCTTATTTTCGGGGAGATGCCTTATATTCACTCAGAAGGAAACCTATAAGTAGGTCTTATTTTTGGAGGATGTCTTATTTTCGGGGAAACACTGTATGTGCCCTGACTGGGAACTGAACTAAAGATCTTTCAGTGGTGTTCAACCAACTGAGCCACACTGGTGAGGGCTATCTGCTAGAGTCTTTATCTTAAACAATGCATATGAAAAATGTATCAATACCACAAATAAATAAATGATTTTAAGAAACATCACTAAAGCTCATATTATCCTGAGGTACCATATTTATTTACTTTCAGTGCATAGTTTGTACGGTGTTATAGCATCTAATCCTCTGGAGAGGGTGCCTCTGTCTGAACTGCATTTGCTTTTAGACTGAGACCTGATCGGGCAGCAGCAGGCCCGTCCATCCAGTTCCTTCTACTGAAAACCCTTCTGGAATTAAATTCAGGCTTGTGTCACTGATTAGATTAGGGTATTTGCTTGTATATCGAAAAGCTGCCAATTTAACATGTTATCTCAGCCTTGGTCGATATGGCTCAATTGGTTGGGCATCATCCCATGCACCAGGAGGTCAAAGGTTGGATTCCTGGTCCAGGTTCATGCCTGGGTTGTGGGCTGGATCCCCAGTAGCGGGTATGCAGAAGGCTGCTGCTGATCCATCAATGTATGTTTCTCTTTCTCCTCCCTTCCTCTCTCTCTAAAAATCAACAAAATTAAAAAAAATAATAATAATAATAAATAAAATGTAATCTCAGTTACAAAATGTTGTAAGTTAGGATTATAAGATGTTTTAAAATTGCATTCAAATGTGGAATATTTTAATAAGCAAGAGTCAGCTTTGGAAATCAGAGCTGTCATTTTTTCCTTTGTCAAAGCTAAGGATGAGTTCATTCAGGATAACCTGCACCACAGCTACTAGCACCAATAATCACTACAGTGGTAAAGAGAATCCATGAGGTTACAGAACGGAAAACTTAAGAAATTTTCACTCAAGAATTTGGTTTGCCAGCTTGGGTCTCCATATTGAGAAAAAGCTAATCTGTCCTAATTAACAAAACCCAGATATAATCTCACTCACACTAAATTGATAAATCAATATTATCATTTTATAAAAACAATTTCTTGTGATGTCAGATAACCAATTCACTCCTGAGTAAATCAATATACTTAAATTTCTGGAACAGCAAAGACAGGGCTAGTACCCAAGTACACAGTAACTCCATCAATAGACTACTTACCGTAAAGGTATCCAAACTATACTCAGAAATGCCATTGCCCTGGCCGGTGTGCTCAGTGGTTAGAGCTTTGGCCCAGATTCCAGAAGGGTTTTGAGTCTGATCACTGGCCCTGGTTGGGACATATGTGGGAGGCAAACCAATTGATGTGTCTCTCTCACATTGATGTTTGTCCCTCACTCTTTCTCTCCCGCTCCCTCCCTCCTTTCTACTCTCTTTTAGAAAAGCAACGGGAAAAATATCCTCAGGAGAGGATTAACAACAAATAAAAATAAAAAGAAGTGCCATTCAAGTAACTTGAGAAATCAATCTTAGCATTGACATAAGATACCCAAAGTCACGTGATTCATGATTTTAATATGAGCAATGTATAGAGATATCGATTTTCTGTGCTTTAAAAACAAAAACTCCCACCAACAAAATGAAACAAACAAAAATACCTATGACAATCTTGATTTGTCTTTCCAGGAGAAAAACTTCTATTCTCCCTGGGATAAAATTAATTCAGAGATGCACAGATGGCTTGAGGCAAACAGCCCACCTCTGCACCGTCACCCCATGATTCTGGGTAGTTAGGTAGAGCCATGTGTGGGAGGGACACCCACCCACCACCATCAGCCCCTTGGTCTTGGTCAGATCAGCACGTGGGCTGGGAGTTGGGCATAAACTTTTTATTTCCTGGCTGGATCTCCCTAAGAAAAAGTTACCTTGTGCAGATGAATACTGCTTTCCTTTTACACCGTGATTATGGATGTTTTGTTGGTCACTGCTCCTTATAAAGTTTTATATTGGACACTGTGGTCACTGCTCCTTATAAAGTTTTATATTGGACACTGTGGTCACTGCTCCTTATAAAGTTTTATATTGAACACCATGGACACTGCTCCTTATAAAGTTTTATATTGGACACCGTGGTCACTGCTCCTTATAAAGTTTTTTTAAATTTATTTATTTATTTATTTTTTATATAAAGTTTTATATTGGACACCGTGGTCACTGCTCCTTGTAAAGTTTTTTTAAAATTTATTTTTATTTATTTATTTTTTATATAAAGTTTTATATTGGACACTGTGGTCACTGCTCCTTATAAAGTTTTATATTGGACACTGTGGTCACTGCTCCTTATAAAGTTTTATATTGAACACCATGGACACTGCTCCTTATAAAGTTTTATATTGGACACCGTGGTCACTGCTCCTTATAAAGTTTTTTTAAATTTATTTATTTATTTATTTTTTATATAAAGTTTTATATTGGACACCGTGGTCACTGCTCCTTGTAAAGTTTTTTTTTAATTTATTTTTATTTATTTATTTTTTATATAAAGTTTTATATTAGACACCGTGGTCACTGCTCCTTATAAAGTTTTATATTGGACACCGTGTTCCATTCCTGATCACCTCCCCACTGTGCGCCCACAGGGATTTTTTATTTATTTATTTATTTATTTTACTTTGTCACCCTGTGGTGAAAACTCACCACATGGCAAGGCCCAGGATGAATTTCTTTTGCATGCAAGAGGCAATTAGTGTCCAGGAGCTCATTAGTTCTGGGGTTATTGGCCCAGGAACATCTCCCTCCCCCAGGATCCCCTGCAGGGATAGCTCAACCCTTGTGGAGACAGCCTAAGGCTAGGTGCAGAGACAGAGCGGGGTGGGAACCTTCTCGGAGAGCTATCCTGTGGCCATGAGGTGGGGGTTACTGTTGATTGTACAGGCAGGATATCAGAATGGAAAGAGGGAAAGAAGCCAGGGCTCTTTCAGATTTCCTTGAGTACCAAGCCAATCTCAGAAAGTGCCTCTCTTCAGGCTTTTTGTTTTTCCCTCCAGCTTTCTTAATAAGTGATATTTAAAAAATAAAACAAACACTAATCTATTGTTTAAGCCATTTTAGTTGGTTTCTCAGTTATTTTTTGCAGAAAGATTTTCACGGAAACGTATGGAAATAACCTTATCCTGATCATGATTTACCAAACATGTAAAAGGAGTGTGGAAGGAATGAGAAATAAAAATCCTACCTTTTTGGGGAGGGTGGGAAGAAGGGGTAAGAGATCAACCAAAGGACTTGTATGCATGTTATAAGCATAACTAATGGACACAGACAGGACGGGGGTGAGGGGGGGTGGGAGAGGTCAATGGGGGAGGGGTAGACATATGTAATATTTTCAACAATAAAGAATTTAAAAAAACCTCTACCTTTTTGGGTACACATCCGACATTCACCTAGGGAAAAAAATTAAAAGGACATATTTTAATAATATTGAAATCAATATAAAACAAACCTGCAAGAAATGAACCCCAAGCATCAGCCCAGGAGACTTACTCGAGTTCTAAGTCATAATCTACAATTATTTCATTTTTTCTAGTACAGAGCTGGGAAACATATGGACATTACTTATCTTATGTCACGAGGGAAGGAATTTTACTCATCAGCATTTTTCAAGAAAAGCAGAGGGGAGGCGGGGGGGGGGGCGCAGAAGGGGGTACAATTCCATTGCAGGTACCACGCACTCAGCGACAATGCAGGTCAGGAGTCGGCAGAAGCCTGGGCTTGCGCAGAACCCAGAGGGAAGCAGAGGAGAAATAGGTCGGAAGTGAGAGGACCTACCAGCTGAATAATAGCGACTGAGCCATCTCAGCAGCTGTCCTAGAGGATTTCCGGGCCCCTGGAACATCATGGGTAAAACCCCCAGAATGTCCCCTTGGAGGAAAAACTCTAGTGGAAATCCACATTATTCTTCAGGACCAAAGGATGATAATCAAGCAATAAGGTTCATCTATGCTGTTAAGTCTTACATACTTACTAGAAACATCATAAAATTGATTCTCAGAATTCTAGCAGCCAACACATAAGGAAAAGCACAAATACTTATAAGATTTCTTGTAAAAAAACACAACAAAAACTATTTATTAGACAAGAGAGAAATTACTCCTAAGGTTCCTTGCAAACAAGCTGTGATGCATACACACAAACTCCTGTTTATATCTGTTTACTTCCCTTTGATCACAACCTAAAAGTATAACTTTTCTTTTTTTTTTAACCTGGGTAAAGAACAAGGTTGAATGAGGACAATGGGGAATGGGGAGGGGGCGGAGGATGAGGTGGGAACCTGGTGGATGGGGGAAGAAATGAGGAATCTTTGTAATAATATGAACAATAAAGATTGATTAAAAAAAAAGAAGAAGAACAAGGTTAATTAAAACTGTCTTGAAAGCCATTTTGTTTTTCAGGATTGTTTGCAAGGGTATTCGATGCAAAGTCCCAACAGATCAGCCTACATGAATACAAACAATCTACTCTGCAAAAAAAACTGTTCCTCAGGCTTCTTCGAAACCCGCCTCTCCTGCCAGCCACTCCAGCGCAGGCAGGCACCTCGGGCCACACTTCACAGTGACACCATGATCAAGAAGGCCTTTGTCAGGTGTAAGCTCCCCGTTCTGGGATGTGTCAGTCCTGGGGGTGGCGTACAGCATGGTGGCTCCACTAAACAACACCATGTTGTATATTTGGAAGTTGCTAAGACTATAGGCAGTGAAGTTCTCATCACAAGAAAAAAAAATTTTGTAACTGCATATAGTGATGGATGTTAACTAGACTTGTGATTATTTTGCAATATATTGAATCATTATGTTATATACATGAAACTGATACAAAGCTATATGACAATTATAGCTCAATTAAAAAAATTTTTTAAAAAGCCCTGACCTGCCGAAGCCGGTTTGGCTCAGTGGATAAAGCGCCAGCCTGCAGACTGAAAGGTCCCAGGTTTGATTCTAGTCAAGGGCATGTACCTTGGTTGTGGGCACATCCCCAGTAGGAGGTGTGCAGGAGGCAGCTGATTGATGTTTCTCTCTCATGGATGTTTCTAGCTCTCTATCCCTCTCTCTTCCTCTCTGTAAAAAAAAAATCAATAAAATATATTAAAAAAATAATTTAAAAGTAAGTAAATAAGAAAATAAAAAGCCCTGACTGGGTAGCACAACTGGTTAGAGCATTGTTCCAACATGCCAAAGTTGCAGGGTTTGATCTCTGGTCAGGACACATATAAGAATCAACCAGTGGGGAGTGGGGAGAGTAAGAAGGGGGGAGAATCAACCAGTGAATGCATAAATAAGTGGAGCAACAAATCAATGTTTCTCTCTCTTTCTCTCTCATCCTTTCTCTAAAATCGATAAATAAATTTTCAAAAATTAAAAAACATATAAAACCAAAAAAAAAATTTTTTTTAAGTGTTTTTTTGTCCTGGTGATCAACGCTTACCACCTTAACCCTATTTGGGGAGCACTGAACACCAACCAGAACCTGTGAACCAGGTTACTCTTTCGTGCAGACTCGGTACACTCCGCAAGAATACCTGGGCATGCTCCCACAGGCCCTGCAGCAAAGGGTGAGCAATAGAACGTCACAAAGAACTCTTCCTCAAGCGAACCGCAAAGACAGAGCTCCCGGAAGGCGCTAATCCACCTTGACTCGGGCACTCCTTGCACTTCTCCACGGTACACCTTTGATCGTGAGAAAAGCATTACATTTGGCTTTTTGGAGGCTCCAAAAACGGAATCCAAATATCATCTCAAGTATTTTTCTGCCTTCAGAAATGACATAATTAATCACAGTGGGCAACAAGAGATTACTTACCTGTAACTGAATTCTAGGGGGGGGGAAAAATAGATGATTTCTTTCAGTATCCTACTTTTTACATCTAACCTAATACTCTATTACAACTTTTTTTTTTTTTTTTGCCTGATCCAGAAAAATAAAGACTAATATAAGATTGAAGTCATGTTATTAGAAATGCCCATGTCTTTGATGACCTAGTGCCGTGGTCGGCAAATTGCAGCTCGCTCAATGTCTTTGATGCAGCTCGTGAGCCACATGCGGCTCTTTGGCCCCTTGAGTGTGGCTCTTCCACAAAATACCACGGCCTGGGCGAGTCTATTTTGAAGAAGTGGCGTTAGAAGACGTTTAAGTTTAGAAAATGTGGCTCTCCAAAGAAATTTCAATCATTGTGCTGTTGACATTTGGCTCTGTTGACTAATGAGTTTGCCGACCACTGGCCTAGTGTATCCAGTAGAAGTTTAGCAGCTGTTCTGGCCCATGTGAACTAAAGGGAATCACAATACGCCACCCCAAAATATGCCACTTTGGAATAAGGGTTATTTTTGAGCTGAAGACAAGAAACAGTCAACGAAGGAGGAACTCTTTGCCCTCCCCCTTTCTGCTTAAAACCAGGGCACACACTTCCCTGTGTGCTGGTGCCCCCACTCCTCTCCTAACCAGAACAACCCTTCGCAGGGGAGATGAAAGGATAGCACTGAGAAGAATCTGCACTAAAAAACAGTAATAAAGGAACCCTTACCTTCCATTAGTTTCCCCCATCTGTTTGTCTTCCCATAACTTACCCCCTCAGAAGCCCCCATCCCCCTTTCCTCTGTCTAGTCTCTTCCCCACAACTTATTACCCTTTGTTAAACTGGTATTAAGCTCAGAGGCCTAACTACTTCCTTATTTAAATATATATATATATAATTTTTTTTTTTTTTTTTTTTTTTTTTTACAGAGAGGAAATGAGAGGGATAGAGAGCTAGAAACATCAACCAGCTGCCTCCTGCACACCCCCTACCAGGGATGTGCCCACAACCAAGGCACATGCCCTTGACCGGAATCGAACCTGGGACCCTTGAGTCCGCAGGCTGACGCTCTTTCCACTGAGCCAAACCGGTTTGGGTTAGTAAGCCAGGACAAGTGGAGTAAGGAAACCGAGAGACAGTTCAACGGCCAATGGTTTAGCATCAAGTCAATTGCAAAACGCTTCCTTCCCTAACCAAGAACCCTTAAGAGCAAACGGTCTAAGGGAGATGATGTGAAGATGGCAGCAGAGGTAGGAGCAATACAAGGTCAGAAACCAAGGAATGTGGAAGCCTCCAGAAGCTAGGAGAGGCTGGGGAATGGCCTCTTCCCGAGAACCACAAGGAAGAACAAGCCTTTGATTTTATCTGGGCCAGAGCCATGTGGACTTTTGACTTTCGGAACGAAACCACACCATCCTCAAAGCCTCACCCACCTGCTATGGGCAAAGTGACTGCCTCATCGCAGCAGCTCATTCTACGGGGAGTTTGAAAAGGAGAGAAGGCAAGGACCTCAGGAGCACCCCAAAATGCACACTTACGGTATCATTTTTTTAAAAAAATGGTCACCAAAACCGGTTTGGCTCAGTGGATAGAGCACTGGCCTGCGGACTGAGGGGTCCCAGGTTCAATTCCGGTCAAGGGCATGTGCCTTGGTTGCGGGCAAATCCCTGATGGGGGATGTGCAGGAGGCAGCTGGTCGATGTTTCTAGCTCTCTATCCCTCTCTCTTCCTCTCTGTAAAAAAAAAAATCAATAAAATATATTTTTAAAATAAATAAATAAAAATGAAAAATGGTCATTTCTTTCTTTCTGTAAATATATTTTTTTATTGATTTCAGAGAGGAAGAGAAATAGAAACATCAATGATGAGAAAAAAATCATTGATCAGCTGCCGCCTGCACGCCCCCTACTGGGGATCAAACCTGCAACCTGGGCATATGCCCTTAACTGGAATCAAACCCAGGACCCTTCAGTCTGCAGGATGATGCTCTATCCACTAAGCCAAGCCAGCGAGGGCCTTATAGTATCATTTACATGTTGGTGCAATATGGAACTGCTTAACATTTTCCTTTGGTTCCCTGATTAGTGGGAATGGTTTCTAAATTAAAGAGGGGGGGGGGGGAGTAAATTGTTTACACTTCTCCTCCCCAACCAGGGTGAGTTAAATAGCTTAACTCACCCTATTCAGGGAGATAACAGAAATACAATTAGTGACGTCTGTACCAACACCACCGAAGGATGATGAAGCCAGGAGAATAATGTGCATCAGCATAAAGCCGATAAATATTCTGTTGAGATCCTCCCCTAAAATACCTCCCTTTAGAGAAGAGATGAGAACCCAGGAGACAAAGGGTCCAGAGCTGGCTCTCTCTGGAGCATGCCCGTGCCTGTCTACCCTCTCAGGCAGACATCTTTGTTTCCTCTCCTAAACCTTTTTTTTAAACACAGTAAGAACCCAGTCAGTCACCGGTGACTGACACTATACTTCCCGTCCAGAAGACAAAACAGGCTGGGCGCCTAATGTCTTAAATTTCATAGAGAAAGGGAGAGGAAAAGAGAGAGAGGGAAACATCAAAGAAGAGAGAGAACCAGTGATCAGCTGCCTCCTGCATGCCCCACCCTGGGGAAGGAGCAGGCAACCCGGGCATGTGCCCTGCCCAGGACACGTGGTTCACAGGTCAGTGCTCAACCACTGAGCCACGCCGGCCAGGCTTCCCTCCCAAATTCTTTCTTAAGAGTCCCCACCATACCTGCCACTGGGGAACAATGAGCATGTTGTCCCGGGCTTATCTCCTGACCCTGTGCCTGCGGCCCCATTTTCTCGGACCGTTCCCTGAGCCAACAACAGCTGTGCTTCACCTTTTTCCTATAATAGATATTTTCTAGAGAGCCGCAGCAGAGCACCGCCTAGGCGCTCACCTGTTGCTTCTTTTCCTCAGCTCTTCCTTGTTTCACTGTCCCAGCTTCGATAAACGTACTCTCAAAATAAAATAAAACAAACGCGCTCTCAAAATCACCTAGACTCGTTTTGTGAAATCTTTCCTGCATGAGGTCAAGAACCCACACACTATCAGCCCGCACGAGGCAGGCCTGCTCCAGGCCTAGTCCTTTTCCAGTTACACTTCCAGACACTTCACTTAAAAAAATAAAAAATAAATAAATGAGTGAGGCCATGTGGTGTTTCTCTTTCATTGACTGGCTTACTTCACTCAGCATGATGTTCTCCAATTCCATCCAAGTTGCTGCAAATGATGTGAATTCCTTCTTTTTTATGGCAGCATAGTATTCCATTGTGTAGATGTACCATAGTTTTTTAATCCATATCTGCTGACAGGCACCTAGGCTGTTTCCAAATTCTAGCTATTGTAGATTATGCTGCTATGAACATAGGGGTGCATATATCCTTTCTGATTGGTGTTTCTAGTTCCTTGGGATATAATCCTAGTAGTGGGATTACTGGGTCAAATAGGAGTTCCATTTTCAGTTTTCTGAGGAAACTCCACACTGTTCTCCACATGACCTCACTCATTTATGGATAATAAAGAACATTATAAACTGATGAACCAAAAGATAGATATAGAGTCAGTAAAGCAACAGGCAGACTGTCAAATTACAGCGGGGAGGGGAGGGATATCTGGGGAGATAATAGATCAACCGAAGGACTTGTATGCATGCATATAAGCACAACCAATGGACATAAAACTCTGGGGAGGGAGGGTATGTATAGGAGGGGAGGACAATGTTAAAATATGTATATAGATAATAATTTAATAAAAAATGTAAAAAAAAAATAAAAAAATAAACACACACACACACACACACACACACACCACACAGATATATAGATTGATTTATTTGGGAGAGAGAGAAGAAGGGAACTTCTACACGTTGTTCCACTTATGTATAGTTGACCCTTGTATGTGTCCTGACCTGGGAATTGAACCCACAGCCTGGGGGTATCAGACGAGGCCCTAACCAACTGAGCTACCCAGCTAGGGCACCCCAAAAATCCACATTTTTAACCCCAGCCATTACCCATTAGCTTCCCATCTTTTCGACTAGAGACACCCTCTGCTCCAGCTAAATTCGATTATACAACATACACTGACTCTAGGCCCTTGTCCTTAACTCTACCCTCACAAAAAATACTCATCTGTTCAAGTTCAGAAAGGTACCCTCTCCTCACAAAACCACCCCCAGTGGCCCAGGCAGAAATGAGTAATGATAACTCTTCTATCAACTGCTGTAATTTGTTATTACTGTAGCAATTAATGTATTTAATTAAATAACTTGCTTTGGGGTTGACTTTGTTCCCCAGCTATTTTGTAAATTCCTTCATGGAAGGGACCTTTGTCTACAAATATTTTGTATCTACCTACCCTTTTCTCTCAACCAGCCCCACTCCAAATACTTAGCATTTAGAACTCAACACTACGCAGACATGAGCAAATGAAATCATGTGCTTCGGAAAACCTTAAGTTTCCCTACACCTGCTTGGAAATTCCTGCACATAAGAAGCTTATTTCTGCAACTGAGGATAATCCAGGTATCTGGAATCTGAACTCCTGTCTTATCGATTGGTTATATCTTCTCTCCTATTCAACACATACCAACACCCTTCCTTGTACAAAAAGCCAGTTTGAAAATGTTAAATTGGGGGATTTCCCCAAAACATCAACGCTTACAGGAAAATAGAAGTTGCTGCAGGAGAAGGAGCTAAGAGGCCAGGCTCTATCTGAAAAACAGCAGTGCTGGCCGTCCTGGTTCGCTCTCAGAGGCAGTTTCTCTCTCAGTGTGTTCACATTACTAACAGGGACCTAAAAATGGGTCGGCCCCTTTTGGTTAATGCCAGCGGAACCAGACAATGATGAGGAACACCACAAGCTGACTGTGCACTAAATGAGGAAGGAGAAAAGGAACGACCTACAATGATGAGCAGTTTCTCAAGTTGTCCAGGGGCCTCGTAGTGGCACCCTCAGTCTGCTTTCTGCAGAGACAGGCTTCTGCTAATTCAGTTCCTCAGGGCAAGGTGCAAGTTGATAATTATCAGGGATTTTTTTTTCTTTTTCTTTTCTCATTCCCATGTTTATTTTGAACTTGAAATATGAGTTGGCCCTTCCATAGCTGTCAATTCTGAGACTCATTCATTTCACCCACAGTTACTGAGTAAAGTATTTTGTGAAGATGATAAGAGGTGCACAAACAGGAACCCGTCCCTGCCCTTAAGGAGTTCCCAATTTAGTACAACTTGTCCGTCCATACCCGAAGGAACTTTAGAGAGCCCACCCCCAAGCCCAGGTTAATCTTGGAGACATTTTAATACTAACAGCAAGTACCTCACCCAATCAAGTCCTGTGATAGAGCCACGACAGAAACTTGGGAACAAAACTTTAAAAAATGATGAACAGTTTCTTAATTGCAGGATTGACAACCCTCTTTTTTGGGGGGTAATTTTAAAATCCTCACGCTCCCCCCCCCTCCAAAAAAAAAAAAAAAAAAAACCCAAACAAGCACAAACTCTGAGAACTCATTTAACAGTAAGTCATCACGGTAACCTGTAGTCCGTGGTGCTCTGCCCAGGCTGAAATTCAGAATCAACCCAGGGAGTTTCCAAAATCCTAACGGCCAGGCTGCACCTCGGACCACATGAAACCAGAGGCCATGGGAGCGGAAGCCAGGAGGGGTTTGTCCAGCTCCTCGGGTGATTCCCACGTGCAGCCACGGGTGGGAACCACCTGTGGGTCCCTCTGCCCTTGCAATGGGGGGAGGCCCAGGAACCTCATTGCTCAGGGACAGACACCCCTCTCCCTTCCTCCCGCGCACCCGGGCCAGCCGCGGTCTGTCCAGTCTGATGTGTCATGGACCTGGCCATGCGCTCAGGCGCGGAACACAACACTCTCCCATCCGGGGGAACGGGGATGTAGGAAAGTTACCCTTGATTGAACCGCTTCAGCCACCGCTGACTTTGCACCTGGGCCGGGACAGACGCAGGTTTCGTTTTGGGGGTCGCAAGGATGCCCCTTTACACTCCCCCCCCCCCATCCTCCGCCCCTCACTCCCCAATGTAAACCTGCTGGGATCCCGGCCGCAGCAGCGGGTGGGCAAGCGGACAGCACAGCGCCCGGTGCCCGGGCGTGGGGCCCGGAGGAAACCGGAGGGAAAGGGATCGCAGGAGGGAAAGGGGTCGCAGGAGGGAAAGGGGTCGCAGGAGGGAAAGGGATCGCAGGAGGGAAAGGGGTCGCAGGAGGGAAAGGGGTCGCAGGAGGGAAAGAGCGCAGACCGCCCCGGAGAAGCGAAGCGCCAGCGGGGCTGCAGCCGAGACGGGGGTGGGGGGTGCGGGACCCGGTACTCACGCAGGTGCCGCCCAGCTTGTGGCTCTCCACCACGGCCACCCTGGCGCCCAGCTCGGCCGCCCGGCGCGCGCTGGCCAGCCCGCCCGAGCCGCCGCCGATCACCAGGTAGTCGTAGGCCGCGGGGCCGGCCGGAGCGCCCTGCCTGCTCGCCATGGTGCGGGCCACGCAGCGGGGAACGGCGCGGGCGCGCGGGCGGCCGGCGGGGGCGCGCACCGCCCGCTGCCAGCTCGGCCACGGCCGCGCGCCGGCGCCCAGGGCCCGGGGCAGCAGCGCCATGCGCGGAGGGCGGAGGGCGGGCCCCGGGGCGGGCCCCGGGGCGGCCCCCGGGAGGGAAGGGCGCGGGCCGCGCGCCGGGTGGCCTCGGGGTGACTAAGCGCCTGACCGGGGTGCGCGGAGGGGGAGGGAGGAAAGGCGGGGTGCAGGGCGGGGCATGCGTTTCCCGGCCGCGGTTCCGGGAGGCCGGGATGGGCCGGCGGGGAGGGCCGGCCCGTCCACCTGCGTGCGAGCCCGCAGCCCTGCCCGGAGCGGGCGCTGGGGGTGGAGGAGCCAGCTCTCTGCTTCCTTCCTCACCCGGCACCTGGGGTTTCTGCAGGCCAGTGGGGCGGGAAAGGATGAACGCCCTCTTTCATTTTCATCAGCCTCTGGGAAGGTCCCTCCATTATTGTGGAGGCTGATGTTAGTTTTGGAAACCTCGGAATAACGAGTTTCGTGATTGCCCAAACCAGGGCAGACTGCCCTGATTCAATCCACAATTATTTCTAACTGAAATCACCCGAGAAGCAGGAAGAGCTGTCTCTGGAATCTCTGTCCCAGTAAAAATAGAAAATAAATCTCCAGGGTAGGTGCCCTCCCAGCTCCAGAACGGTGGCACACGTTATAAAACCCGGGATTGAAAAGCATGTGCGGCCCTGGCCAGTGTGGCTCAGGAGGTTGAGCATCGTTCCATGCAGGGAAAAGTTGCCCCTTTGATTCCTAGTCAGGGCACATACCCAGGTCCATCCCTGTGGATGTTTCTCCCTCTCGCTCTCCGATCAATTAAAAAAAAAAAAAATATATATATATATATATATATATATATATATATATATATATATATTGATTTTTTACAGAGAGGAAGTGAGAGGGATAGAGAGTTAGAAACATCGATGAGAATCATGGATCAGCTGCCTCCTGCACACCTCTTAATGGGGATGTGCACGCAATCAAAGTACATGTCCTTAACCAGAATCGAACCTGGGACTCTTCAGTCCGCAGGCCAATGCTCTATCCACTGAGCCAAACCGGTTTCAGCAAAACATATATATTTTTTAAAAGGGTATGTAAACAAGGCCTTGTAAAGCCTTTACTAATTTACAGCCAAAGCCCAAACTTTTGTTTAGATTCCTCACCAGCAAATACCACACCTTGCTTTAGATTCATTTCTAATGAACACTTTCTTTGTCCTGTCAACTTCTCATCAATTTCTTTGTCTAAAAAGAATAAAAGGGTGCCCAGTTTAATCATGTCTTTGAACCTTATTTTATGTTCTGCGCATCATATTGTCATTCTACTGTGCAAATGTATTGTTTTTTTTTCCTGTTGAGCTAGTGTGTCAACTTTATTATTTTGTAAGTAGTTCAACCAGAAGAACTAAAGAACGGTAGAGTGAGGGTAATTCTCCCAATCCCAACCTGATCTACAGATGGAGCACATAGGGTAGAGTCCTGGTCGGGTTGTTCAGTGGTTAGAGCATCAGCCTGCATACCAAAGGGTCTTGGGTTTGATTGCTGGTCGAGGGCAATCCCAAACACAGTTGGGCACGTGTGGGAGGCAACCAATCCGTGTCTCTCTCTCCATCTCCCTCCCTCCTTTCCACTCTCTCTGAAAAGCAATCAAAAAAATATCTTTGGGTGAGGATTAAACTAACGAAAGACAGGACTGAGATGGAGACACAGAAGCATTTTCCTCCCAACCTTGTCCAGACTGGGGTGTGGTTGTACAATATCTGGAACTACCAACTGGACAACAACGTAGTAAGTGGGCTTTGAGTTGGTGTGATGACCGGCCACAGCCCAGGCCCATCTGCAGACAGAGCTCAGCAAGCAGAGGAGTGGAAGTCCCGGTCACAGGCACTGGGCCAGCACACTGAAGGGGACTGGGAGTCAACCACACTCCAATGGGAATAGTACTCAGTTCCTTTGTGAAGGTTTTTTCCCTGATCCAAAAGTTGTCTAGGGGAAAATGGGGAAGTTCTTCCTTCCAGTCAAATGCCGCATAATACATGTAAAAGGAACAATAGAGTTAGAAAGGTCACCATTTTACAACTATCCTAGTAATAGTGTCATTAACAATCAGTTAATATTAAAACCACACTGGGTGAAAGTATGATGGCAAAAGGGTTACTACATAATCTCCGAATAGGTCCCCATAGATTGCTTTAGTCACAAAGGGAAAACTGGTAACTTCAAAGTTAAACATTGCCAGTGAGGAGACATTAGTCATTGTGTACCTCATGAGCAGATGCAGTAAGAAGTGCACAACTAGCCAGCTGGTGTGCCTCAGTGGTTGAGCATCGACCTGTAAACCAGGAAGTCGTAGTTTGATTCCGTGTCAGGGCACAAGCTTAGTTTGTAGGCTCCATCCCCAGGGGGTCATGCAGAAGGCAGACAATCAATTATTGTCTCATCATTGATGTTTCTCTCTCCTCCTTTCTTCTCTGAAATCAATTAAAAAAAAATAGTGCACAGCTTCACTTATGTAATATTCTTGCTAAAAATTCATAACCTAAAAAATTGAGAGAAATTTTACAATTAGCCTGGTAGTTTAAAAACTATCAATGTCTTAAAAACAATACAAAGCTGAGGAAATTTTCCAGATTAAAGACTGAAGAATCCTGGTTGATGTGGCTCAGTTGGCTGAGCATTGTCTCATGCACTGAAAGGTCAAGAGGTTGCTGGTTCAACTCCAGGTCAGGGCACATGCCTAGTTTCAGGTTTGATCACCAGGGTGGGGCATGTAAAAGGCAGCAGCCAATGGATGTTTCTCTCTTTTCCTTTCGCTCTCAAATCAATAAAAATACATTTTTAAAAAAGATTGAATATGAGAATTAAAAGTAAGGCCCTAGCCGGTTTGGCCCAGTGGATAGAGTGTCGGCCTGCAGAGTGAAGGGTCCCGGATTCAATTCCAGTCAAGGGCACATGCCCGGGTTGTAGTTCGATCCCCAATAGAAGGCATGCAGGAGGCGGATGATCAATGATACTCTCATCATTGATGTTTCTATCTATTTCTCTCCCTTCCTCTCTGAAACCAATAAAAATATATATTTTTTTTAAAAAGGCTTGATCCTGGATGAACTTTTGAATTGGGACAATTGACAAAAGTGGAATATGGTCTGGTAATATATAATGGTATTACATTAGTACAAAATTTCCTGAGTTTGATCACTGTAGTGTGATTATAAGAAAATATCATTGTTCTTAAGAGATACGCGTTGAAGTATTTGGCAGTTAAGAGTCTGAGTCAGAGGCACTTGGATTCATATCATACCACAGGCACTGTCATAGTTAACTTAACCTCTCTGAGTGTCAGTTTCTTCACCTGTGAAACTGGGAGGCTGACCAAAAAGGAAATAAGCACATGAGAGAGAACGGAGGAAATGAGCCAGCAGGAGCTGGAAATAGTAAGCAGAGCAGTGCAGACAGGCAGTTGAAGGAGGTAATGGAGATGGTGAAGTCCTGGAAGACCTTGGTTGTAACCTGGCACAAGTGTTTGAACATTACTCCATCGGCAATAGAGTCACTGGAGATTTTCCGGAGGTCATTTCCCTGAAAATATATGAAATGAACTGAAGATGATGAAACTGGCAGTATAGGAGGCAAAAGTAATAGGTGGCAGTATTAATAACAGGGAAGGAACAGATTGGACAGACATGAAATAAAATTGACAAGTTGAGGAAGGGTTCAAGAGTCAGAGATGACAAGTCTTGAACCAGGGAATATGGGGGTGGGGAGGGGGAAAATACTCCATTAAGCAAACATAAAGATGAAAGGAAGTAAATGTCTATGATTCCGATAGTTTCAAAGGAGGAAGGAACTTTTAATCACCTAGTTATATAATCCATGCAATATGTTGAAACCAAAGGCTCATAAGGTATTATTTAGGGCTAAATTATTTTATTTTCACGTAAACATTTTTCCTTTTTGCTTCTGATTTAGGTGGGAAGAGGAATAGGTAGCCATATCCCAAGCACTTGAAGACTTCTGAACTTATCTAAATTTTCTCTTTAAGAAATGTTAGCTAGCCGGGACCGGTTTGGCTCAGAGGATAGAGCATTGGCCTGCAGACTGAAAGGTCCCAGGTTGGATTCCAGTCAAGGGCATGTACCTTGGTTGCGGGCACATCCCCAGTGGGGGGTGTGCAAGAGGCAGCTGGTTGATGTTTCTCTCTCCTCGATGTTTCTAACTCTCTGTCCCTCTCAATCCCACTCTGTGTAAAATCAATAAAATATATTAAAAAAAAGAAATGTCAGCTAGTCGAAACTGGTTTGGCTCAGTGGATAGAGCATCTGCCTGTGGACTAAAGGGTCCCAGGTTTGATTCTGGTCAAGGGCATGTACCTTGGTTGTGGGCACATCCCCAGTAGGGGGTGTGCAGGAGGCAGCTGATCAAAGTTTATCTCTCATCGATGTTTCTAACTCTCTATCCCTCTCTCTTCCTCTGTAAAAAATCAATAAAATATATATTTTAAAAAAAGAAATGTCAGCTAGCCTAGCTGTGTGGCTCAGTTGGTGAGTGGTGACCATCAACCAAGAGGTGGCAGGTTTGATTCCCAGTCAGGGCATATGCCAGGGCATGTCCCCAGGGTGGGTCATGAAGGAGGCAGCCAATCAATGATTCTCTTTCATCATTGATGTTTCTCTCTCTCCCTCTCCCCTACTCTCTCAAATCAATAAAAAATATATTTTTAAAAACTACACTAAGATATCATTTTTAAAAAAAGAAATGTCAGCTAAAGTAAAAATTTAGTTAATACAATTAAAGATAGTTTGGAGATTATAGTAAATGCTAAGAATAAAAATCAACTGAGTTACTGTTCAAATGTAGCTGTCTTAAGACATCATGATAACAAAGCTATCACTCAAAATCGAAGGCCAGATAAAGAGCTTCACCAATAAAAAAAGGTAAAGGAGTTCATCACCACCAAACCAGAATTATATGAATTGCTGAAGGGGGTTCTTTTGGAAGAGAAAGTAAATAAAGATAAAAACTATGAATAACAAATACGTAACTATCAACAAG